CCACTGAGCGGCCTGTCCAGGCAAGGTTCAGGGCTCGCTGGGGACGCCCGGCATCTCCCCACCGGCCCTGGCCATCAGCTGTGGGTGCACAGGAGACTGGCTGTAGCAAAGCGAACCCTGCGAGAGCTCGGGGAGTGTCTGCATAGACTTACAGGCACTCCAATGTCGATGGCAAAGGGAACCTGAAGGAAAAGTAATAATTCAGTGTAGCAAAGTTCTTTCCCCCTGGTTTTATGCCCTCATGTGAGAAATATCAAGAATATAAACTATTAAATGAGGCAGTACTACCATTATTAACAGCCATAGAAAGAGGGTTGCTTTATGATTTCACCCCAAAACCAGTCTTTAGACGTTCAGTTGTTTATGGGCAATTATTTAGAAACACTGGGAATGGAGAAGAGGTGCATGTGGACTCTCATTAACTATGAATGACAGGGTCATCGATGAAAATAAACTGACTGGGATGATGCCGTCTGCACCTCTATTGAAAAGAAATAGTCTGTGTGGCAAAGACATCGTTTAGGAAACACGCTGTGGTTTTGTAAAGGTCACAGCCCCGTTTCCCGGCCCGTCAGGAAGCGGGAGTGGTGCTGGTGGTGAGGGGGCAGGTCTGAGCGCAAGCTCTCAACGAGCCTCAGAAGCGCTCTCCACACATCAGGGTGAGGGCCGGATGGGGCCCAGGGACACACGGCGGGCCCTCCGCTTCGCATGGGTGACCAGGAGCCCGGGCAGAGGGCAGAGGAAACAGAATTGCACTGAACTGCATTTAAAATTCCACCTAAAAGAACAGGAGGGCAAGAAGGCTGAGGGCACTGGCCGGAGAACGGGCTAAAGGGATGAAGCGTGAGGTTTCGGCTGAAGAAAGATGCAAGCAAGGCCTGGGGGGTTAAGGAATTAGAACAAATGAGAGCAAAGCCTAGAATATACCAGGAATTGAAAGATTGCTGGGAGTAAGGAGTGAACTGGGAGAATAGAAAGGGGTGGGAGGATGGCAAACAGAGAAAGATCCAGGCTGGAGAGCAAATGAATTCATTTTAACCAACATTTATTGAGCAGGTCCTGTGAGCAAGACAGGGCTGGCCCTCTGGGGGGGTGCAGTAGGTAATCTCTGTTCTGTGAAAGACAGCTGACCAACAGGCAGGCGAGACGGACAGCGATTAGAAGCATAAACATTGCTCAGGTGCACAGAGAGAAAAGAACTTTGTTTAATTTTGTTTAGAGAAGATCAGAGAAGAGTTAGAGGAAATATTCAAGAAAGTCATTCTGGACTAGTGGCTCCCAATGTCACCCCAAAATATTCAATTAAAAAGGAAAATAAAATAAAATAAAAGTTTAAACCACTAAGTAGGTTTTCTCCTCCCCGCCCTGGAAGGTGACAGTTGTTCTGGGTATCACACTTGAGACTGTCAGTGTCCCGTGAGGAGCTCAGGGTGGGGCAAGAGAGGCCAGCACAGCTCTGCTGTCCGAGCAACACAGTGGGAAGCGCAACTCTAGGCGGAAGCAGTGAGCACAGGTCTGCACTCTTCTCCTCCAACCTTTCAAACCTCTGACGGGCATACTAGCTGCTCCCTGACAAATGCAGGGAGTTTCCAAATTGACTGCCAGTAATCACATTACGAATGTTTTTGAAAAGATCCAGAAATATAAACACTTATTATTATTACTATTATTATTTTAGTTCAGGGGGGAAAAACTGCCACCAAACTTGGGACACTGCACTGTTCTCTTCTCAGTGTTCCCACCGTCGAATGGAAAACCCTTCATTGCGGCAGTTGCCGCATATAATGGGCAGCAAGTGGTACGGACAGAGCCAACTCTTCAGGTTAAGGTCCCCGTGGGGCAGCGGTGCTCCCCCTGAGGCCAAAGATGCGCGGCCCAATGCGCCTCTTCCCACTGAGCCTCAGAAACGGACGGGTTCCGCGGCTCCCTTTTGGCTGTAATGTGCGTGCATCTTTCTCATCAGGACGGCTCTGTCCCCTCCACTCCGCAGGGACACAGGGGCACGGGTCAGTTAGAAGAATCCCGAGCTGGCAGGGCAGGTAGAAGTTGCCCCCCAAGGAACGTAAGCCCATAAAGCAGGGCAGCAACGGCAGCGCCTGCTATTTGAACGCGTTTATGCTCATGGCAGCGCCTCCGAGTCATGTTAAGATGCGAATTTTGAATCCGTTGTCATAACTGCCCGTGAGGGTCCGGGGACAGAGCGCGGCGCTGGTGGGTGGGAGCCGGGGGGCGCCAGGCGCTCAGGGCCCGCTGTCCCCGCAGGAGCTGAAGGAGAAGATGGACGAGCTCCTGCCGCTGATCCCCGTGCTGGAGCAGTACAAGACGGACGCGCGCCTCATCACCCAGTTCAAGGAGGAGATCCGGAACCTGTCGGCCGTGCTCACCGGGATCCAGGAGGAGCTGGGCGCCTACGACTACGAGGAGCTGCACCTCAGGGTGCTCAGCCTGGAGACCCGGCTGCGCGACTGCATGAAGAAGCTCAGTGAGTAGCGCCGCGGGCCATCCGCGCTGTGCGTCTCAGTCGGTCCCGTGGGGGTGGTCAGACGTGCCTCGTGTCGGGGAAACCAGGGCTGGCCTTCCACGTACAAGGTAAGTGTTCCCCAATGGCTCACGCGCCCCTGGGAACGGAGTGGCCTGGGACTGACAGTTGCCTAATTCTCCAATCGCCTGTAACATTTGACATAAACAGCCTGGCGACAGAGCCGACTCCACTGGCTAACGGAGATGTGTTTTAGTGCAGGCAGACGGTGCGCGATGAGTGATCACTGCTGGGCCAGGGCGGAGGGGAGGCACTTCAGGGAGCGGAGAAAGTCAGAGACTGCAGGAGAGGGAGTGGCCCTGGGCCAAAATGTGAAGCCGCAGTGCTGAAAGCAAACCCAACAGCTGCCCTTCCTGCAGAGCAGCCCACGGCCGCTCTGACCCGCTGAAGGAATCAAAGGAGGCACCTTCCCAAATCGGCAGCTACACACCGTGAGTGGGGGCCACACAAGCGCGCGGGACCTGGACTGCAGTCTCTGACTCAGCCCGAACCCAGGGTGCAAGCCCTCCCGCTGCCCCCAGGAGCTAGTGGCCCAGTTCTTCTCTCCCGGACTGTTCACTACACTCCGACTCCACCAAAGCAAGGCCAGGCCCCGGGAGGTCGGACCTGGTGAATACCGTAAGCCCTCCCTGAAGTGGGCCCGTGGAATTCTTGTGGGAATAAATGGGAAAACTTTTGGGATTAGCTTCATTTTAGAAATGAACTTCACCTCTAACATATGCAGGGTAGGGCAAAAGTAGGTGGACAGTGGTGAGTATGCGAATTTTAAGATAATTAAAAAAACAAATGAGCCTCCTCACCTGCAGGGTCTCAGCGACTCTACCAGAGAATTAAAGTTTGGGCGAAAAATAGAAATTAAAAAAAAATGCTTCCACAGCAATGCACCCTCGTGGCCTGAATGGGGGACAGACATGCCTAAATGCTTGATTTTCTACTCTCAGAGCCGAATAGAGAAGTCCCCTGTGCTTAATTACATCGGACCGTATTCCCAGACATGCAAACTGTAATTATATGCCTGTGAGGATTTAACTGAAAAAGCGCAGTGAAAGCCTTCGCCACCCCCTGAGATCACCAACAGACATTTAATGTCGCTGATAACCAGGCTTCCAGCCCTCTCCCCGCCTGCAGTCACTTCTCCCTCAGGGCAATGGTTCGGTGCCATCTAGTGAAGTTCAAGGCGCATCCTTCCCTTAACACAGCCTGCGGGTATCGGCAGCGTTCAAAACTCCAGATCCCAAGTAAACGGCACTTGGCCTGTTGTCTCTGCCATGCCCGTGCCAAATTCCTTTCAAAAGGGAAAACAAAATGTCTAGGTGGTAATGGTCTAGTTTGCACATTCAACCAATACTGAATGAGCCCCGGTGTGTGCGGGCACTCGGCCAGGTATTGGGGAGACGAGGCTGAGCGGCAGACAGCCCCCCCCCCCCCAGGCCCTGTCAGGGAGCTGCCATTCTGTGGGGACACAAGCACATAGCAGAGAAGTGCAGCCGTGTTGACAGCCCGCTGCACAACGGGCACCATGCCAGCCTCTTCCATGTGGTCGTTCCAATCACCGCGAGAACTCTGGGTGAGGCCTTATTATGCAATTGATTGCAAACAGATTGTTTGGCTTAAAGTCATTTGCAATTTATTGGAAAACAGACGGGTTTGGACACATGTTATTCTTGGTCCTGCTTGCCACACACGCACTGCAAACTCATTCTCGTGCCCGTTCCATTATGGCAACTGTTATGTTCACCCTTATCACCACCTTCCCCTGGCACTACAGTTGGTGAGTTAGACATGAAAATAAAAGGTTAAATAATAGAAACAGATTTTACCATCAAATGGATGGTAGAGGTAAACTTATTATAAGTAGCTTCAAAGGACGCACGTTAAAGATCAAATCATATCTCCTTCTTGCCACGCGTTCTCCAATGGCCGTAAGTAAAAAGAAATGAGATTCTGGAGAAATACTCACTATTCCATGTAATTTACTCATATGGACATGGCCTTGGGACTCCAGGTCAGAAGCCATTAGTCCGGGCCATCGCAAGGTACAATGATATATTAAAGAAAGACACAAGAGAGAAGACAGAAGTCTCCATGCTTTGTTGATCCAAACAACTGCTCCTGCTGCTGAATCCCAAATGACACCTTGTCCTGAGCTGCCATTGGATCAGCATGGGCTGTAACTGATATCACAAAATCCAATGTCTAGAAGGCATCGGAGAAAGACAATGGCCACGATCTTCAACTACCTACTCAGTATATTTTCTGAATAGATAGAACCATACACACACAATATATTGTAAAATGCTAATATTTTCACATGTCTCACTGCCAGTGAGAGCAGAGCGGGAGAGAAATCAGTGAAGCAGAACCCTTCACTTCGCTCTGTGCCATCCATTTCTGCCCAACATTTGTCTTCCCGGCGCTTGGGAAAATCACCCTTTCCGTCTGGCTCCCTTCGTCCGCGTGGAGAGTGAGAGTGAAGTGAGAAAGATAATTATGTCTTGGAACAAGAGCCAGTGAGGGGGAGCCAAGACACAGAAATGACTTCTGTTTATTTTACTTCATGTTTACAATCTCTACATTCCATCAGCAGCTGACAAGACCAGTGTTTACTTCACACAGAGACCCACAAAATTATAACTACAAAAACAGCCAGTTTTTATGAATTCCTGAAACTTTAATTTCATTTGACGAGATGAATTTTACCTTAGGAGTCCAGTAACTATTTGTAAGGAGGAACTTCTCTCAACAACAATGAGAGACTATTCTGGTTTTTTTGCTTCCTGAGAATAAGAGTAGATGATGGTGATGGCCATGATCTTATAGTGCTGGGGTGTGTGTGTGTGTGTGTGTGTGTGTGTGTGTGTTTTACTGCCACCACAAATGCCACCTTCTCCCCATCAGCATATTAAAAGTTTGTTGATCCCTCATCCATTCAATGCTTTCTCGGTGAGATTAACAAAATGTCAAGCTCTAGGCTGTCCACCTTACAGATGAGGAAACCATCCCAGAGAAGAATGGCACAATCCAATATTATCGGATGATGGGCATAAGCAGTAGTAGTTTAAGAAGTTACACCATAAGGACATACAGAAGGCCGAGAGACATATGAAAACATGCTCAAAGTCACTAATCATCTGAGAGATGCAAATCAAAACAACAATGAGGTACCATCCCACAACTGTCACAATGGCTATCATCAACAAATCAACAAATGACAAGTGCTGTCGAGGATGTGGAGGAAAAGGAACCCTTGTTCACTGCTGGTGGGAATGTAGACTGGTGCAGCCACTGTGGAAGACAGTATGGAGTTTCCTCAAAAAGTTAAAAATGGAACTCCCATTTGACCCCGTGATCCCACTTCTAGGGCTATATCCCAAGAAACCAGAAATACCGATCAGAAAGGATATATGTACCCCTATGTTCATAGTGGCACAATTCACCATAGCTAAGATCTGGAAACAGCCTAAGTGCCCATAAGCAGATGAGTGGATTAGAAAACTGTGGTACATCTACACGATGGAATACTACGCTGCTGTAAAAAAGAAGGAACTCTTACCATTTGCAACAGCTTGGATGGAACTGGAGAGCATTATGCCAAGCGAAATAAGCCAGTCAGAGAAAGGTAAATATCACATGATCTCATTCATATGTGGGATATAATGATCAACATAAACTGATGAACAAAAATAGATCCAGAGACAAAGTGCAGGGGAGAAGTGGGGGTTAGAGATCAATCAAAGGACTTCTATGTATGCATATTAGTATAACCAATGGACACAGACACTGGGGCGGTGAGGGCCTGCCCTCAGGGGTGGGAATAGCTGGAGGGGGGTCAATTTGGGAAAAGGGAGACATATGTAATACTTTAAACAATAAAAAAAAGTTACACTATATAAACCTATTTTTATATAAACCATAAATGAACCCACGAGGAGATGGTAATTTAATCTATTTAGTAACCATGCCTCTATCTGTATAAACCTATTTTGTCAATCTCAACACTTAGCAGAGTCCTGATACAGCAGAGCTTCTCAGCAAATGATGGTTCAGTGAATACATGATTTTATTTAAATAGTAACTACTGGTTTCGCCGCTGACCTATTTCAGAGGAGAGGCCCATCGCTACTAGAAGGCAGCAGAGCCATTGTCAGTTTAGGCACCAGAAGGGCGACTCCGCTGGTATAATTCCTGCCTCCATTCCTGGCCTGAACAGCCGGAGGCTCAGCAGCATCCCTCTGCCATATGGTCACACGCTGGATTCTACCCAAACACCACAGAAGCCGAGACACCCACGCCACCCACGTGCTGCCGCTTTTCGGAATTGTTGATTACGTGAGATTCGTGGCACAGATAACTGCCCAGGAGAATTCTGAGGCAGATTTTTAACTAACCCGTCCAACTCAACTCCTGTGGATGTTACGTCTACATAAGCGGGATCCAGAAGATCATTTAAACCCAGGAAACCAAGCAACACCTGAAATATGCACACATCAAAGGGAAAATGAGCTTCATGTCTTCTTGCTAGTTTTTCATTTGATCATTTTGAATGGCCTGAGACTGATGTTATAAATATCCAAATAGCCCTTGGCAGAAAAAAGGTTCCCCACCCCTGATTTAGAGTACTGAGAAAGCAACTCTTCACTGTTCAAACCTCACTGTACGACACGCGACATGAGTGATCATTCATTCAGAATGTGTGTTACCAGCCCCATGATTCAGTGGCCCTTGCTTTGCTCTTATGAGTATGTGTGTTGGAATCACTGCCCGTGGTCACCTAACGTGTTTATGTTTCTCTAATTTCAGCATGTGGCAAGTTGATGAAAATCACAGGCCCAATTACAGTCAAGACGTCTGGAACCCGATTCGGTGCCTGGATGACTGATCCTCTAGCATCCGAGAAAAACAACAGAGTATGTGTGCTCCACAATTGCTTTTGCTTAGAATTATGTTTTATTTATACCTTTTTTGTCTACTGGACTGTTCATTTTCTTTAGGGATAGAATTTCAACTTGGAAACGGTTACATCGCTGCAAATATTTTGAATTTGATCATATTAACACAGCTACAGAGATATATGGCAAATTTATTTTAGTAAAATGTTCTATCCTATAATTCTCCAATAGAGTAAATCTAGTTTTTATTTGTTTCAGTCTTGTTTTGCACTTCACAGGGCAAAAATTACAAGAGTACAAAATTCTCTTTATATTTCTGCTAAAACTTGCTCCATAATATGAAAACACACACACACACACTAAGGGAAATACTTGAACTTATCAATTCACAAAACAAACTGAAATATTCCTGGAGTCTAGAGTTAACTTTAAGGGAAATAGCACTGAAACTTTGGGGGTGGGGAGGTATTTTCATAAATCAGCAACACATATATTATGTAAATCAATATACCACCAACTTACCATCGCTCTGGGCATGTGCTATTGCAAAACTTACTATACATTAAGATTCACAGGGTTACATCCAAATGAGATTTGTAGCTAGATTAGTGACATGGTTGTGTTAAGAGGTAGGTGTACCTAGAAGCAGGTTCAATGAACAAGGGTTAACTAGAAGGTTCTGTGGCATCCATAAAGGAGAAATATGTTCAAATGTGTAGAGTTAGACCACACATTTTTTCAGAGCGAGTTGCGGAATAAATAAAGTTGCTGAAGGCGGTATTTTTGCCATTATTGATCGCATGGATCGATCAGGTGACTAAACAAAGTGATGTGATTTGTACTGACACGCGTCTGGCTCATTCCATCATGGGCACTGAATGGTCTAAAAAAGAAAGGACAAGAAGCAAATCAACTTCAAGGCAGCAAATGTAGCTGTTTCCTTTCTGCATAGTCCATGCCATTCTCTTTGCAAATGCCCGCCGTACCATAGGCCCTAAGATAAGATGGTCTCTGGCGCCTAGGCATCCTGAGACGGATGTGTGCTCTCACTGCCTTTATTTTGGAATTCTCAGGAAGTCCAGAATTTAGGTGCTCCATTTATTTATTCTTTCCCCCCATCTTCCCAGGTCTGGTACATGGACAGTTACACTAACAACAAAATAGTCCGGGAGTACAAATCCATGGCCGACTTTGTCAGCGGGGCTGAATCAAGGACCTACAACCTCCCTTTCAAGTGGGCGGGCACCAACCACGTGGTCTACAACGGCTCGCTCTACTTCAACAAGTACCAGAGCAACATCGTCATTAAGTACAGCTTCGACCTGGGCAGGGTGCTGGCCCAGCGCAGCCTGGAGTACGCCGGCTTCCAGAACGTCTACCCCTACACCTGGGGCGGCTTCTCCGACATCGACCTGATGGCCGACGAAATCGGGCTGTGGGCCGTGTACGCCACCAACCAGAACGCGGGCAACATCGTCATCAGCCAGCTGAACCCCGACACCCTGGAGGTGGCCAAGAGCTGGAACACGGGCTACCCCAAGCGGAGCGCCGGGGAGTCCTTCATGATCTGCGGGACCCTGTATGTCACCAACTCCCACCTGACCGGGGCCAAGGTGTACTATTCCTACTCCACCAAGACCTCTAGCTACGAGTACACGGACATCCCCTTCCACAACCAGTACTTCCACATCTCCATGCTGGACTACAACGCCAGGGACCGGGCGCTCTACGCCTGGAACAACGGCCACCAGGTCCTGTTCAATGTCACCCTCTTCCACATCATCAAGACCGAGGACGACACATAAGCAAGTGTAACCTGTTTCCGCCGAGCTACCCCGTGTCATTTGCGATCCATTCCCTAGGACTCCTGTGGTGTTGCTTTTCTTCCTTAGAGCGTCCCCACCCTTTCCCCAAAGCATTTCTGTCATCACGTGGGTGTTCCGGAAAAATTCAGCGGGGCCTGCCTCAGTGAACCCGCTGGACACACATCGGAACTCCTGCGTTCATAAGGCCCATCATGTCCTTGTCATGAGAAGCACTACGGAGAGCTTACGTGGCTAAAGTCATACTTTTGCAAAAGATTAATGGTCTGCCTTATACTAGTGTCAGAGACTAATGGTAGCTTCAATGCATGAATGTCTCTCTCTCTCTCTCTTTTTCCCAACTCTGCCACTTCTTACTATATGTCTCTAGCTCCACATCAGAAAACATTCTGGTAGGAATCAGAAGAAAAAAGGAAGAAAAAGGAAAAAAAGCACTTCTCCCCCATTCATTTCTAAAACAGACGTCAGGATTTCATTTACACGGGGAAGAACACGCCGTCTCGCTGTTCCCCGGTCCTCTGGCGCGGTGCTGTACAGCCATTTTTAAATCTCTTGCTAACATTTGATTGGCAACCTGTATTTCTACCATTGTGACCACCATTGTGCAATTGTATCTCTTCACTTCTGTGACAGTAAGTGATGTTTTTTTATAAACGACACTGAAGTTCAATCTCAGTGATCCTGGGTCCATGTCCAAGTGTGGTCCCAAGGAAGTATCTTCCCGGCTTCCCCTTCCCATGGCAGTGTAAGCTAAACAGGAAGCAGACCAGGCCCCTTCCATCCAGTCTTTATTTGACCCCTGACACACAATGGACCACGGACGCGCAAGGCCAC